TGTGTGTGTGTGTGTGTGTGTGTGTGTGTGTGTGTGTGTGTGTGTGTGTGTGTGTGTGTGTGTGTGTGTAACAAAGTCTCGTTGTTATTATCATACTCTATTGAAAAATACGAGACAACTTTATATTCTCTACAAAAGTAATGATATCAAGAAGTTTATGTCAAGTACAAATGATTAATTATTTCAGTTTTTACTATTATAAACATATATGGTTTTGGTTATAATATATATTTATATATTATTAATATATTATTAAGTTATTATTAAATAAAAAATAAAATAATTAGAGAAATACAATAATGTTGAAAAATAATTATAATAACTTACAGTAATGTTGAAAAAAATTATAATAACTTACACAAAAAAAACTTGCATGCTTTTTTTATAGGCAAATGGTTTTCTCATTTCAATAATTATCAAAATATTATATTGATTATGGATATAATATTAAAAAAGGCACGTCAAGTGCTTTTTGTGTAAGTTATAATAATTTTTTTTATTATTGTAAGTTATTATAATTATTTTTTAACATTATTGTATTTCTCTAATTATTTTATTTTTCATTTAATAAGTTACTAATATATTAATAATATATTTTATTTATAAATATATTATATAGCCAAAACCATATATGTTTATAAAAGTAAAAACTGAAATGATTAATCATTCGTACTTGGCGTAAACCTCTTGATATCATTACTTTTATAGAGAATTTAAAATTGTCTCGTATTTCTCAATAGAGTATTTGCGAGAATACAGTTGATCTGAATAAGCTTGTTTTAATATAATGTTAACGCGTGTGCACTTGGCTTCTATTTTATATTTTTTTTAAAGTAATTTTGTTTTTATGTCACATCTTTTTTACAAAATAATATTAATTAGTGAAAACGAGTTTTTTTTGTTACTAACTTTATATATTGAACTTGGACATTGTACATATTTAGGTATACATAAAAAGCAAGTTCTTTAAATTATACTTCAAAATAATTTATTTTTATAAAAAAGATGTCTTTTTCTCTGTTTCTCTCTCTCTCTCTCTCTCTCTCTCTCTCTCTTTTTATTTATTATTTATTTATTATATTATTATTTATTTTTCGACGTCTATACAGCCTATTTAATTTAATAAATTACGAGTTGGTAAATTGATAATCGTAATATATTTACAAAAATCTTTGGAGCATATGTTGTAGCAACATGTTGGAACATATGAGTAGCATTAAAAGAATGGGTACGCCAAATGTTTTACATGTGCGTGTGAAAGTTTACCCTGGCATGTCAAGTGTTTTTTGTATGCGTGTGAAATTTTATTTAACTTGCCCCAAAATTGTTACTTTTGTATGTTTACTAAATAAGCTTTTAAAAACTATTTTTTCCCAATTCTCTGTAATTATCAGAAAATAAAGTCAGTAGAATCCTAATGTAATGTAATGTAATGTAGTATTCATATATATAAAGTAGTTATAACAATATTTATTGTGTATGAAATTAATTTTACTTGGCGTAAATTGTTTGATATCATTTCATTTTGTAAGAATTTTACCAATAACTTTTTTTATAACATTTTTTGCAAGCGAAGCAATGTGCACTTGACTTCTTTTTTTACTTTTTTTTTTAAGTAATTTTTGTACAGATATCCTTCCTTTTTGTATAACTATTAATAATTGTAATCATACAACAATATATTAAAGAAATATTTTTAATTATATTTTGGATGCAAAATGAAATATTTCTTAATGAAGCGGCAACATTATTTTATTTAATTCTGACGCCTACTGCCTAGCAAAATGTGTGAAATCAAAATCGCTATTATGTTTGATTGCAAAATAATACATATTTTATTACTAAAATACTTTATAGTCGAATTTGCGGTACAATTGTACTACCTATGTTCCTTTCGCAAATAACAATGTTGTAGTACTAATATGAACACTAACTAATTGTTTCGAACAACCCTGGGTGTTGAGCGGCCGGTTCGTATTGCCGTCGACTGCTACTGTTGGTTGCGCGAATAAATGATCGTGCTCTCCAAGAGCCTCGTAAGATGTGAGGAGATCGCAAGCGTGTTCTTGCTTGCAAGAACACGGTGTAGTCCTGCTTAGGACACACGTGGAGTTGCCCGGCGCCTCCGCACTCGGAAGTAATCTCCCTTTCGTAGGATTGTATACACTCAGAGTATGGAGACGGTGACTCGTCTCCTCTCGTGAGTGGTGATGTCAAATCCGGGTAAGATTCAGCCGTGAATGCCGCTGTTGCGACAGAGACTGAGTTCTGGGTTGAAGTGTCAGCGAGTTTAGCTCGTGTGATTAGTCGCATATACGACGAAGGCTAAGTCTTGTATGGACTTACAAGCGAGTGTGACTCGCGTGCTGAGTCGCGTATGCGACGACGTATACATCTCGCGTCGACTTTTAAGCGAACGTGGTTCGCATAGATAAGGCCGCGTGTACGACTAATGCTAAGTCTCGCAAAGACTTAGAAGCGAGTGTAACTCGCGTGCTGAGTCACGTAGGCAACGACGTATAAGTCTTGAATCGACTTAAAGGTGAGCGTGACGGCTGCGCTCCTGGCAGTGCCGTAACAGTGAGCGTGGCTCGTGTGACGGCTGTGCCCTTGGCAATGCCGTAACAGTGAGCGTGGCTCGCGTGATAGCTGCGTGTCCCTGGCAGCGGAGCAATAGCAAGCGTGGCTTGCATTATAACTGCGTCCCTGGCAGCAGAGCAATAGCGAATGTGGCTCGCGTAATAGCGGCGTCCCTGGCAGCGACACAGTTCTCGAAGAGAACGAGGTTCCGAGGTAATCCGGAATGGTCGCGCGAACCCTTCCCTCAATCACCGATTGTATCGAGAAGGTAGAGATCCGTGGAGTTACCAAAACACTTTGTACGAAGAAAACCAATGTGTCTTCGACACTCTAAAGGCAATGACCCAACGTGCACGTGCACTTAAGAAGGCCATAGAACGTTCTATATAGTTACAAAAGTACTTCGAGCGAGCCACCGTGTCGTAGACACTCTAAAGGCGCCACCTGATGTGCAAGCGCATCAAAAGACCTCGAGTAGTCTCACGCGGCGCCTTATATAGGCGCTTAACTAAAATTTAACTGCGAGCAACGGCTCCGGCTGACGGCGGCGGAAGACCGGCGACTGCAAGTCGGGCGGAGCCTGC